TCCCTGCCGAGCAGGGAGCCCGATGCGGGACTCGATCCAGGGACTCGATCCAGGGACTCCAGGATCATGACCTGAGCCGAAAGCAGTCGCTTAACCAACTGAGCCACCCAGGCGCCCCTGCCCCCAACAGTTCTTGCTGGTAGAACCGGCTGGCTGCAGTTCTGGCAGTTACTCCAGAACGGGGGCCTCAGGAGCAGCGGAGGGTACTGGGCTGAGCTCAGTAGCATTGCAAGGATCCCTGAGTGGGATACCTTGGAGCTCAACCAGAGAAGGGGGACTAGACAGTGAAGAACTTGGGCTCAGGTAGGGTCAGTGGCCAGTCTGGATTGAACATCTAAAACCTGACTGACGGTGGGCTTTTCAGCCAGCTTGATGAAAAGAGACTGGAACCAGATACATATTTATGTCAACAAATAAATAAATATGACATATCCTGGCCCCGGAATAGTGTGAAGTAAATTCATAGCAGCTAAAACCTCACTGTGATCGAGGCTTCACCCTGGGCCTGGCATCCTAAGGACCCGTCTCCCTACCTAATATCTCCCCCTGCTCTCCCCCGCTGGAAAGAGGCTGGAGAGTCCCACTGGGCATCTAGGTTCTAGTTCCAACTCTGTCCCAACTCTAAAATCACTTGCTGCCACCGAACATCTGCTAAGTGCAATTTTCTGTGACTCCTGCCCTGGCTCCTACCTAGGCACATCCTCCTGACTCCTGTTGTGTCCCCAGTCACCTGGAATGCTTTCCCACCTGTCAGATTTGAATCCTATCAAACACAAACCCTCACAAACAATCGTGGCAAGTTTTTCCTCTCTCGGTACATAAGAACATCTCTCAGATTTATCATTTTGACTTCTAGCTGGGTCCAGTGTTTCAAACACCTGGAGTGAAAGTCCCCTCCTCTAGGTCCCTCCCTGGCGCCTAAACACACACTGAGCGGATCCGGAAGGAGAAAAGCTTGTTGACAGATCATCCAGGGAAGGGCTGGAATTACACCTGCTCAAGGAACGGGACCTATCACGGGTTAGAACGACACCTGGGCGGCAGGAGTTGGGGAAACTATTCCAGCCCAGCTCCCTGGTTGCGCCTGGGCAAGTCCTCCCCTGGCTCGCTTTCAGAATCATCACGCACAACCACTTTGAAGTGTGAGCGCTCCAGATTTCCTTGGCCATCCCTCTCTGATTCCAAAGTCCTAAACCCGAGCATTGCATTTTAGCGTTCTAACAGGCTTGCATTTTAGCGTTCTAACAGGCTTGAGATTCTTTGGTACCGAGCAAAGCTCCTCTTTCTTTGACCCGGTGCGGCGATGTCCTTTCAGGACCTGTCCTGGCCCTTTCGTCTCCCTGCCTCTCCCCTCAGCTGGCTCTACCTGACTCGGAAAGAGTACGGAATGCATTAGGGCGTGGAGAGGTTCCGAAAGTAAAATCTACGCTGCCGGCCACCTGCCTCTCCGTGCGCCGGCGCGCCTGAGAACGCTGCTAGGGATACCCCCTCCCTGGGCCTCCCCCCACACACCGGACCCGAGCGGTCACCTGGAGGCGGAAGCGCTGCGCCGCCTTGTCCATGGTCTCCAGGGCCGCCTGCTGCCTCTGTCGCGCCCGGGCCACCGCGCCCCGCGCCGGCCGGTGACTTGACCAGCGCAGGGCCACGGCCGCCGCGACGAAGCAGCAGGCCAGGGCAGCCCCAGAGGCGCCAGACAGCGCGGCCCACGGTTCGTCCAGCACCATGATCTCCCGCCTCCGACCGATGCCCAGAGCGACAGATGCGGAATCAACACGCGCGCGTGCCGCCGCAAAACCCGGCCTGGATACGCCTAGGATCCCGCGCCCGCCTGCACGGAAGAGGCGGGAGGAGCGCGGCGCGGCCGCTGGCCCGCGGGGAAGCGCGCTGTTGCCTGGCAGCCGGCTTAGGCCGCCGGCGCGCAAGGGTCAAGGTCAAGGCCGCACCCGGCTGGCCGGGAGGGGTGGGAGGGGCGGGAGGGGCAACGGCTTCCCCCGGGCGCCCTCGATAAGCCTCCGCCCCACGCACGCCACAGCCGCAGCTCCCGAAGACGTGACTAGCGGGAGCCCCCTGCGGGAAAGGCCGGCCAAGAGGACAGGGAGCCGCGACCTACTGACTGGGCTCGCGGACCTGATTAATCCCCGCAGTTTAGAAGCATCTTTCCAGGACACCCTCCCAGGGTGTCCACCTCTCCCATGCGCGGGGCTTCTAGGGGAACCAGGCGGGAGGGGCCCAGGAAGTCCCCTGGGGAGCCCACCTGCTGCCCCTTCCCCTTTCCCAACCCTGGGACCCCATGTCTCTCTCCCAGGGCTCTTCTTCATGGCCAAACCACCCATCACTTGTCCTTTTGCTCAGCCACCTCCTACAGACTGACTTTCCCAGATTCACCCTTCTCCAGTCATGGGCTCTCCTGGATTTTACATCCAGAGAGCAGAGAGGACGCCTGACCAGGAGTCTGGGGACCTGCACTCTTCATTAGGGGGATGGGGGTCTTACATACACAAACAAAATACTCCCATCCAGGCATCTCTCATAGGACTTTATGTTTATGTGCTTTATCTCATTTGTCCTCCCAACAGACCCACGAGGAAGGCATTTTATTATCCTTATTTTACAGCTGAGGTAACTGTAGCCAAGAGGGGTCACACATATGGCTGAGTGGGGACTGAAACTCAGCTCTAGTCTCAAGCCATTGCTCTTAACCATCAAGCTTTACCACCATTACGGCTCCTGGAAGTGAAACTCTGTGGGACACAGGTGCTTTCTGGCTGGAAATGCTGTCTGCTGAAACATTCTGCTGGTACTCCAGCTCTATGTTTACTTCTCTGAATCTGTGCCTTAACGTTTAAAAGAGGGATGGTTAAAATGCCTACCTCACAGGATAGTTAGCAGTATGTGAGGTCCTTTATGATGGGTGCCTGGCACATAGTAGGCTCTCCATAAATGTTTATTGACTGAATGAAAGGCCCACCTGTGAAGAGTCTAGATGTGTTAAAATTAAAACTGTCAGGCGCCTGGGTGGCTCAGTCAGTGAGTCTACGGTGAGTCTACCGACTCTTGATTTTGGCTCAGGTCGGGATCTCAGGGCGGGGGGATGAGCCCCACCACCATTGCCACACTCAGCTCAGAGTCTGCTTGAGGTTCTCTCCCTCTCCCTCTGCTCTAAAATAAATAATGAAATAAATGTTTATTTATATATAAATAAATAATCAGTTATTTTAACAGCAAAATGGTTTATTCCAGAATAGCAGAGAGTTGCAACTCCTGACAACCAAGCCAGGCCAAAGCCACAGGCAGGTCCAGGGAACAAAGGAGAGGACAGCTCTTTTACAGAGGAAAGGGGTAAGTTAGGAAGGGCTATTAGAAACAAAAAGTCCAGGGGCGCCTGGGTCATTAAGCGTCTGCCTTCAGCTCAGGTCATGATCCCAGAGTCCTGGGATCAAGCCCCGCATCGGGCTCCCTGCTCTGCGGGAAGCCTGCTTCTCCCTCTCCCACTCACCCTGCTTGTGTTCCCTCTCTCGCTGTGTCTCTCTCTGTCAAATAAATAAAATCTTTAAAAAAAAAAAAAAAAAAAAGAAAGAAACAAAAAGTCCATTGGAGTAAACTGGGAATATGAAGTATAGTGGCTTTTCATTGGCTGAGTTATGACATTTCTCTTTGGCCAGCTGTTGCTGGGGGAGGAGAAAAGCTTTTTTTTCCCTCCAGCTGGGTAGTAAAATAGTGTGAATTTGTAAGGTGTGTCATTTCCTGTTGGGTCTGCAATTGAGTGACAGGGCGTGAGAGCTCTTCCTTCTGGCCTGGTGACTGCACTTTAAATGAGGTTTCCTGGGGCACCTGGCTGGCTCAATTGCTAGAGCATGCAACTCGTGATCTTGCGGTCATGAGTTTGAGTCCCACATTGGGTGTAGAGTTTATTTAAAAAATAAAATAATAAATGAAGTCTCCTGTTATGAGTTTTCACACATGTATTGGAAGAATCCAGACCTGAGGGTCTTGTAAGTCACTGTAAGGCAGCAAGTCCTGGACCAATTCTAAAGTACAGGTCATGGTGGGTGGCGACTTCACTCCTCTGAGAGAGGATCTCTTCACCTTCTGACATACTGTGGTTTGATTCAAAAGACTGCCACTGAGCCCTGCTTCCATTTGATAGGCTTCTTGCTGTGACCTGGGGAAACTGAGGCAAGAAACAAACCTTAGATCTGGCCTTGTGGAGCTCAAGGTCTGGTTGGGAAGGAAAAGACATGCATAGACCAAGAGACAAAAGATATACTTTGGTGGAAATGCAGAGATCATACTGCATAAACCCAAAGAGCCTTTGGATGCTGGGCTCTTGGGCTGAACAGACCTTGGGGAAGTAGACAGTACAGACGTATAAAGCTTGGCTCTGAAGCTAAAGTGCCTGGCAACCCATCCTTGTTGTGTAACTGTGTTTTCTTACCTGTAAAAGGAGGACAATAATGGTATTCCCCCTCCCCCAAGTCTCTAGTACTATTATAAGAATCAGATGAGTTAAGGCACCTAACACAGTCAAAACAGGACCTAACATACAGTAAGGATTCCATGCATGTTAATCATTATATTATTGTTATTTATTATTAAAAAAAAAAATAGAGAGGGGTTTTCTGGCCTGAGGAGCCCACGCTCAGGAACCAGACTGCCTGAGTTTTAATCTTAAGTTTGCCACTTGCTTACAAAGTAACCTTGAATAAGTCACTTTATCCTCTCGTGCCTCAGTGTCTTTATCTGGAAAACGGGGGATAATACTAGGGACTACCTCACAGAATTGGGAAGATTCAATTAGTTAAATCAAGGAAAGAGTTTAGAACAGCACCCAGCCCATTGTAAGAGCTCAATAAGCATTAGTTCATTAGTAAACAGGAATGTGATGCAACCCTACCAGTGTTTGGGGAAGGTACTATGGAGGAGAAGCGGGAGACAAAGGCCATGGAAAGGAAGAGCAGGCAGATTCGAGGATCCAGAAGGGGAAAGGTTTCCAGGGCTCCGCCTTGTGTTAGCATCTGTAAATCAACACCATACGGTTCTGGGAGCCACACAGCAGGTACCCACACTCAGGTGGTACAGTGCCAGGTGAGTTGCTCTTACTGACAGTACCTCAGGCAGGTGCTGGTGGGTTCCCTGACCAGGATCCGGGGGGTCCTCCCCCATTAGTTGGTCACCTTCAGCAAGTCATCCTTGTGTGTCCTCAGTTGTTGGGCAGACCAGTGATACCCTGCCAAGTCCCCTTGGAGGTGGGAGCAGGGCTGCAAGAAGGGGAAGGAGAGCTTGCAGAAGGGAAGAGAGCTTCTCCGATTCCAGAGGGTTCAAAGTCTGTCTTTGTTCTGGGGGTGAGAACACAGAGTGTGCCCCTGTTGCCAGTAACTGCTCTACTTCTCCGTTTTCTTTCACGGGGGTGAGACTTTCCTCGGTACCGAAGGGGTGGGCAGGAGAGGGACACAGCAAGAACTCACAGCCCCACAGGTGAGGGGGGGTACTAGAAGCACTAACTGCGGGGTGCTTTATCATTCTCAAAGCCCTGTCAAGCCTTTGACCTCAGCTGTCTGAGCCTCCTTACCACCTTAAAGGCCCCCACTACCCCAACACTGTCCTCTGAGTTAGGGGAATCTATCTCCTGTGGTAACTTGATTACATAAATGATCCCAATACTCCACCCCTTTCTAGATCTGTGCTTTTTGCAAAATAACTTTGTAGCTCCTCCCTTCAGGAGGTGGAATCTATTTCCTCCCCCTTGGAAACCTGGGCTGACCTTGGTGGATCGTGTTAACTAATAGAATGCCCTGCTAGTTCTGAGTCTAGGCTGCGAGAGAATTTTCCCTCCCTTTCCTGGACCCCTGCCACTACCATGAGAACGAGTCTCGGTAAGCTAGACTGCCAGAGGATGAGACCATGTGTGGGAGAACCTACTCAGCTCAGCCGTCCCTGCTCAGGCCCTCACACAAGGGATGGCGCCCAGCCAAGATAAGCAGAGCCACTTACATGCAGATACGTGAGCGAGCCTAGCCAAGCCCAGCTTAGCCCAGCAGAACCACCAGCCCACCGGTAGACTGAGAGAATAATAAATGGTGTTTAAACCACTAATTTTGAGGTGAATTTGTCATAAAGCATCAGCTAACTGATATACCTCCTGATCCCCCTTGCCCACATGAATAACCAAGGTCCACCAGCGACTTGCTCAATGCTACATCGCCAGTGGGGGGCCCGACGGTCAGTCAAAGCTGGATCTTTGAGACTCGCTGCTGCCTCTGGAATATGGACACAGACATCTAGACTTTAGAACTGTTATTCAAAATTCCTATTTTTTTTAAAGATTTTATTTATTTATTTGACAGAGAGAGACACAGCGAGAGAGGGAACACAAGCAGGGGGAGTGAGAGAGGGAGAAGCAGGCTTCCCACGGAGCAGGGAGCCCGATGCGGGGCTCAATCCCAGGACCCTGGGATCATGACCTGAGCCGAAGGCAGACGCTTAGCCATCTGAGCCACCCAGGCGCCCCTATCTTTTTCCTATTTTTTTTAAAGATTTTATTTATTTATTTGACAGAGAGAGACACAGCGAGAGAGGAGCGGTAGGCAGAAGGAGAAGCAGGCTTCCCGCCGAGCAAGGAGCCCGATGCGGGGCTCGATCCCAGGACCCTGGGATCATGACCTGAGCCGAAGCAGATGCTTAACGACTGAGCCACCCAGGCACCCCTATTCAAAGTTCTTATTGGTTAGCTTGGAAACACATCAACCACACCTCCCCTTAAATCTTTTTCTCAACCCGTTTTAGCCCATGCACTCTTTGGACACTCACACAGTGCTATGCGTTCTCCCTCCTAAATGCATTTGAAACTGCAAGTTTCCTCGCCATTCTGCCCCTGAGTTTCCTTATCTGTAATGTGGGGATACTGTA